CATCAGAACCAGAACGGATCCACTCTCTGCTGTTTCCCCAAACATAGAAACTACAAAACTCACAACTTAATTTAAAAGTTATTGATTAATATGCGACGATCCAGAGAGTCAAACAGAACCAACCCAACCCAATCTGGCCCGGTTTCTGTCCCACATCTGAACCCACACTGCTGCGGATGCAGCTGTTGGTTACACTCCGCATGTTTGCTCATCTGGACCGGGCGGTTCTGACCTAGTTAGAGCAGCACCGGAAGCCGCAGAGCTGCTGCTTCTCCAGCAGAGGGCGCCGTCGGACCGAAAGGTGATGATGAAGGAAGGCGACGCGTCACTGTCGCCTCAGCAGAGGTCAGAGGTCACAGAGTTAGAGCAGCAGGGAGACCAGCAGCTGTTCAGAGTCGGCCCGAGGACGGGCGGGCTGGCCCAGTTCTGATGGTTCTGATGGGCCCGTTAGACTGGAGACACTCAGGACCTTCACAGAACCAAACAGAACCAGGTAGAACCAAATATTGGCTGCAAACAAAGCAGACCCGCTGTTGGTTCTCTGCAGTTGGGTCGGAATCGCTGGGACATAAAACCTGCCAGCTAAGCGGCAGCATTCCTCGGTCCGGAGGAAACCGGACCGGGCCGAACCTCCAGAGGGAATGTTCGGACCGGGCCGCCCACCTGTCCCCTCCGGCATGTCTGCTATTCCTCTGAAGCCAAAGTCTGTTTATGTTTACATGAAACTGGACCGGCACCAACTGGGATCAGGTTCTGGTTTCATCCCCACCCAGAACCAGAACCGGTCCGGACACCTGAGGCGGAGGAGGTTCTGCTGCCGCCTGCAGGACAAACTGAGGGAATAAAAACCAGCTGCTGCTGGGTTCTGGTTCTGGTCCGATTCGCTCCCGGTGAACCTCCCAGCAGGATTCCCAAAGCGGACCGGAACCAGAGAGGAACCCGAAGGGTTAACAGCTGCTCTGCTGAACAGACCTGCACGTCGCCATGGCAACCTGTAAACAGGGCAGCCCCCAGCCAATCAGGGAGCAGCGACATCACAACACCTTATCAAGACACACACACACACACACACACAGAGACACACACACACACAGAGACACACACACACAGAGACACACACACACAAAGACACACAGAGACACACACAGAGACACACACACACACAGAGACACACACACACAGAGACACACACACACACAGAGACACACACACACACAGAGACACACACACACAGAGACACACACACACACAGAGACACACACACACACAGAGACACACACACACAAAGACACACAGAGACACACACAGAACACACACACACAGAGACACACACACACACAGACACACACACACACACAGAGACACACACACACACACAGAGACACACACACACAGAGACACACACACACAGAGACACACACACACACAGAGACACACACACACACACACAGAGACACACACACACACACACACAGACACACAGACACACACACACAGAGACACACACACACACAGAGACACACACAGAGACACACACACACAGAGACACACACACACAGAGACACGCACACACCAGAGACACACACACACACACAGAGACACACAGAGACACACATACACACAGAGACACACACACACAGACACACACACACACACACAGAGACACACACAGAGAGACACACACACACAGAGACACACACACACAGAGACACACACACACACAGAGACACACACAGAGACACACACACACAGAGACACACACACACAGAGACACACACACACACACACACACAGAGACACACACAGAGACACACATACACACAGAGACACACACAGAGACACACACACACAGAGACACACACAGAGACACACACACACACAGAGACACACACAGAGACACACACACACAGACACACACACACACAGAGACACGCACACACACAGAGACACACACACACACAAGACACACACAGAGACACACATACACACAGAGACACACACACACAGACACACACACACACACAGAGACACACACAGAGAGACACACACACACAGAGACACACACACAGAGACACACACACACACAGAGACACACACAGAGACACACACACACACAGAGACACACACACACAGAGACACACACACACACACACACACAGAGACACACACAAGACACACATACACACAGAGACACACACAGAGACACACACACACAGAGACACACACAGAGACACACACAGACACACACACACACAGAGACACACACAGAGACACACACACACACAGAGACACACACACACAGAGACACACACACACACACACACAGAGACACACACAGAGACACACATACACACAGAGACACACACACACACACACAGAGACACACACACACACACCTACACACACACACACACACACACACAGAAACACACACACACAGAGACACACACACACACAGAGACACACACACACACACCTACACACACACACACAGAAACACACACACACACAGCAGTACACACACACACACAGAAACACACACACACTGCTGCTGCAGTTCTCTGTTGAGTTTCAGAACCAGTCTGAACATCAGACACCAGCTGAAGGTGAGGTTCTACTGGACCCGGTTCGGTGGTACCACCAGAACCACTGAAGGAAATGACCCCAAAACACTGAGGTCACTTCCTGCTTCACCAGATGGAAACAAGATGGAGGATTTCTCTTTAGTCTTTGGCTAAAGACCAGGATCCATTTCTGCTGCTAGCGCTAGGCTAGCATGTTTAGCTTTGGTTGGATTTACCCACAATGCCCTGCTGTAGTCCACTTTCTGCTTTTGAAGCGGTTTCTGGTCCGCTTGGAGTTCACACATGAAACCGAACCAGAGTTCACTTCAACCGAACCCAGACCGAGGTCTAGAGGACCAGAGGTCAGAGGTCGATTAGCACCTCTCCAACCGGACCGGCGTTTGTAGGTGAACGGACTGGAGTCGGATTTGAAGCGAAGTGAACCGGGCTGGGGGGAACCAACCCTCGGACAATTTCAGCCTAATAAAAATGAACGAGTTCATCTTCATTCAAAACGTTTCCCGGTACCACCTGGTCCAGTTCAGGCTCGCCTACAGAACTCAGAGGTAGGCCAACCAGAACCCACAGGAAGGTTCCTCGCCAAACGATGACACCGCAACAGAACCGCTGCCTCTTCATCAGAACCAGGTAAACTCAAAGGTCTCTTCATGAATATTTCATGCAGAACAAATATCAGAACCTTTTCCAGCGGGTCTCTGGAGCCCGGCAGCGGTTCTGTTTAATATTTAAACCTGCTGACTGCAGCAGCGTCTGCAGAGCCGGTTCTGCCCTCGGCTGTCAGTCACTGGACGGGTTGGGACAGGGGGGGCTTTCAGGGGTCAGAGGTGAACGGTGGCGTCGCCTCGGATCAGGCTGACGGGGGCAGCGGAGCAGAGAGAGCACGACGAAGAGCTGAGGGAGGCGAAGCAGAACCAGAGCAGAACCACAGGACGGAGAACGCTGGTTCTGATCCGCTCTGGGTCCAACAAGCCGAGTTCTACTGGACCTCAGACTGACCCGGAGCTCGCAGTCTGATCAGAGACAGCAGGAATCCCAACGTTCCCACCGGCGTCTGAAAGGTCAAAGAGCGTCTCTTTGTTCTGCACGGGCTTTTATTCTGAAAGGATCATTTACATACAAAAGGAGAATTCCCAAACACTGGAATTCCTGCCAACATTCCCAGCTCCTTACAACCAGAACCTGGGTCTACCAGAACCCAGAGTGACCAGAACCCAGAGTTACCAGAACCCGGTTCTGTCGGACCCGGACTGCAGCCGGCTGGATGCTCGGTCAGCTCTGTCCAGGTTTCTCGCTGACTCAGGCCTCTGTCTGTCTGTGAGAACTATGTGGTTTTTATTTCCCATCATGCACTGCAGCAGCCTGGAGAAAACTCTCACTGAACGTCTCTGTTCGCATGTTTACTGGAAGCCGACCCTGTTTGGACCTGCTGCAGGTGGTTGCTGAGCGGAGCCGGAACCGCCATCATGAAAACGGGTCAGAGCCCAGGAACGGTCCGGCCAGACCGATGGGCCACGAGGCCTGCTAGCCGACACGCAGACCTGCATGTTCAGGCAACTGCTGCATTTCCTGACATCACAACCTTCACAGGTCAGTCTGTGAAGGTCCAATCACAAGAACCTGCTTCAGTCCAAATACACTGAAGACTACACAGCGTTAGCATGCTAACACAATCCTAACATCAGTGGAACATGCTAACATTAACACGTCTAGTTCACTAAAAGAATAACAACAAACCAGAACCAGAACCAGTCCTGAATTAGCCAAAGAAAATAGCCAACAACACAGTTAGCATATTGACAAAGTATGGAAACGTTAGTACACACAAAAGAAAGTAGCATGCTAACATTGGCGTACTAATTTTAAGATGAAACGATCCTTGATGACAGTTAGCTGCAGCTAACTGCAGCTAACTGTAGCTAACTGTAGCTAACTGCAGCTAACTGCAGCTAGCCATCCATGGATTCAACATCCGTTAGACTGACGTGTGCTGAGTTTGTGACCATGCGCTCAATGGCCAGTGATGAAACACAACTATAATGATTGATGTTTTTTTTTTACATTTTCAGAATGTCAACAACAGTCTGCAGACTCCCACCTTGTTATGGAAACTCATATGGATCCAACACATTTAAGAGCCTCCTGATTACAGCCTGCAGTTTCCCTCAGGAAACACAAACATCGTTTCATGACTCATTCTAGGAGTTTAGGTCATCCAGAGCGACCTCTGTAGTTATGCTGCTACAGGCTCCGACAGCTGCAGGACAAACTGACCACTTTTTCATAGAAACGCCATGAACAGTCAACTGTTCAGCAGAGAAGTCAGTAAGGCCCAAACAATCCCAGAATGCAATGCAGTGTGCCATTTTCCTGGTGAAAGTATGAAAACAATGTTAATGTTAGTTGGAAAGGATAACACATGTAGCGTGTAACTAATATAGACAAGAAAGAAAGTCCACACAGTTGGCTAATGTTAGCATGAAGAGCTAGCATGCTATCACTAGCATGAAAAGCTCTGGAAATACTAGAATGTTGAACGAATCCACCAGGAATCCAGAGAGCTGCAGCTGTCCACTACAGAAAACCAGCAGAAAGTCTGGAAAACCAGTATGGAGGACCAGTCTGGAGGACCAGTAAAGAGGACCAGTCTGGAGGACCAGTCTGGAGGACCAGTAAGGAGGACCAGTCAGTTTTTAGTCCTACAGCAGGAACTGAAAACTGTCCAACTTCCTGTCCAATTAAAAGTCTCCAGCTGCTCCGCGGGAGCCATCTTGGGCTCCTTCCTGTTTAGTGACGAAACATTTCTGAGCAGCTGCTCCACAGAGCTTCGTGCCTCCACAGACAGAGCTAACAGAAGCTGTAATCTGGGTTCTTTCTGCCGGAACCGGACCGATCCGGACCTGCAGTGAGAGACGCTCGGATCGTTTCGAGGTTGCAGAGACACGTGAAACCTCCGACCGCTCTTCTCACATGGCGGCGTATCAGAGCAAATCAGACTCCCAAACCCGCCACGAACCAACGTTCCTCCTGAAGGAACATCATCCTCAGACTGAAACATCCTGGATCCGGGGTCAGAGGTCAACCAGAGGAGGAGTGGAAGCTGGAGTTTTGTGAAGCTCTTCAGCGTCTGATCTGTCTGAACTCGATGATTTCTGCTGTTTGCAGCCTGCAGAGCGTGACGGGCGAACAATGAGCTGATTTAAAGGGACGGTGCGTTCTGGCAGGTAAACAGCAGTGAGGTGCAGACAAGCAGCTGCAGGAACACCTTCTGCCAACCTAAACGACAACGTCCCACACTAACTGGGACGTGTGTCCAACCTGAAAGAGGTGAAGCTGTATGAAGGTCAAAGGTCAGGATGGAACCAGTAGTTCTTGTGTGGCAGAGGGGGTCTGGTACGTCCCCCAGTGGCGCACTGGTCTCTGTGGAGGGAGTTACTGGGGAGGATCCAGGTGGGCTCAGTCCGCTGGGCTGTGGTTGGTCCATCTGCACAGGTGGTGGACCGTCCACCGTCAAACCAGGTCTTCCGTCTGTCATCGATCAAATCCGTCAGACGCCGTGTTTAACTTTGACCTTGTCCACCAAAATCTGTTCACAGTGTGGAAAAATGAACGATCCAAGAGGAAACGCCGATGAGAAACAAACTCCAGAGACGGTAACGTCTGTTTCCAATCTGGAAACATCCAATAATGAAGAGAAAGTTGTTGAGTTTTTTCCTGTTTTATGTGAATTTAAAACTTTTTGAACAATTAATGATGGTTTTGTTGTAGCTATTATTGATTCTGTCAGATTTCTAGAATAGAATAGAAATTTATTCACAAAGGTGAAATTTTGGTTCCCTACAGCAAAGTGACAGGAAGTCAAAGCAAGTAGAGTCACACAAAGACAGAAGTCTCCATGTGGAGACATGGAGACATGGAGAGACATGTGGAGACATGGAGAGACATGTGGAGACGTGGAGATACATGTGGAGACTGGAGATATGTGGAGACATGGAGAGACGTGGAGAGACATGTGGAGACATGGAGAGACGTTTTTGGGTGTCAGCTGCTGGATCTCCTCCAGCGCTGCTTTGTGCACACAGGATGCAGAAGTTATTGAAAAGCAGTTTACAATAAAATGATTTCCAGGCAGATAAAATCACCAGTATCATCTGCATACTGCGAGACATTCAACAGAAAATGTCATTCAGAAGAAATGATCTGCTATTTTCTGCCTTCAGAGGGAATCATGCAGAACATGGACAGATTGTGAAGGTCCAAACCTCTGCGGCCCGGTTTGGTTCTACGAGCCGAGGATGTTTGTTTGGGTTCAACAAGGTAAACAGGAAGAGAGGAGAACCAATCAGCAGAGCTGATGTTTCACAAACAGCTAAACACGAAGCAGCTTCATTCTCCTACCGGACTCTGGTTCCGACTCGTCTCTCAGAACCCGGCTGATCCGGCGGGACAGCGTCGTGATGAAAGCTGCTGATGGACGGCGCTCTGCGCTCGGCGTCTGATCCGGCTTTCCTGAGCGGCGTTCTGTCCGAGCCGCCGGCGGCACCAGGTTCTGACATGGACCGGAAGAAGGGAATGATCCGGCGCAGGGATCCATGCTTGTCCGGATCCTGGTTCTGGTTCCGACGCCGGGGCAAAGTGCTGGTTTTGAGCAGGCCGAACAGCTGAGGGCGCTCCTGGTTCTGGTCTTCAGATGTTCTCCACTGGTATCGGTCCAATGGCTGCTCAGAACCGAGCTCAGGCTCAAACGCCCTCCAGGGTTTCCTGTAGAGGTGCCGGCGGTTCGGACCGGGCTGAACCGGGCCCTCGAGGCCCTCAGGGTGACTTCCACTCCCACTCATGGTCCAGACCTGACGGGCTCGGTTCACGGCGCAGCGACTCCGCCGGTTCTACAGCCGGGTTCTGGATGGGTCATAATTCCAACCCGACAGCAGGGTTCTGGTTCTGGTCGACGCCGCTGGGGCCCTCAGGTCGTCGTCATGCTGCCGTTTCTCAACAGGCAGCGAACGTCTTCCTGGGAGGAAGTCAGTCAGAGGAAGAGCCAGCCTCAGCCAATCAGATGGCAGCAGGCTGTAAACCAGCAGGCTGCGGTTTCCTGTCTGAAGAACATCGTGTTTATGGCTCCGCACCCGGATCAGAACCGCTCAGGCTCTAAACCCAGTTCACTCCAGGGTCCAGAGTCTCCTGGTTCTGGTCCACAAAGTCCGGAACCAATGAAGAGCAGGACTTCCACAGGAAACCACAACCCAGCGTGCTTCTACCTCAGCAGCGATGGTTTCGTCACACCACAACGTCTCCACTGATCTGCTGTGTGTGTGTGTGTGTGTGTGTGTGTGTGTGTGTGTGTGTGTGTGTGTGTAGGTGTGTGTGTGTGTATGTGTGTGTGTGTGTAGGTGTGTGTGTGTAGGTGTGTGATGTGTGTGTATGTGTGTGTGTAGTGTGTGTGTGTGTGTATGTGTGTGTAGGTGTGTGTGTAGGTGTGTGTGTGAGTGTGTGTGTGTGTGTAGGTGTGTGTGTGTATGTGTGTGTGTAGGTGTGTGTGTAGGTGTGTGTGTATGTGTGTGTGTGTAGGTGTGTGTGTATGTGTGTGTATGTGTAGGTGTGTGTGTGTGTGTGTAGGTGTGTGAGTGTGTGTGTGAGTGTGTGTGTGTGTGAGTGTGTGTGTATGTGTGTGTGTGTAGGTGTGTGTGTGTAGGTGTGTGAGTGTGTGTGTATGTGTGTGTGTATGTGTGAGTGTGTGTGTAGGTGTGTGTGTGTGTGTGTGTGTGAGTGTGTAGGTGTGTGTGTGTGTGTGTGTATGTGTGAGTGTGTGTGTGTAGGTGTGTGTGTGTGTAGGTGTGTGTGTGTGTGTGTGTAGGTATGTGTGTGTGTGTGTGTCTGTGTGTGTGTGTGTGTGTGTGTGTGTGTGTGTGTGTGTGTGTGTGTGTGTGTGAGATTATTAATAAAACAGGAACCGAGAGCCGACACACATCTGATAACTTTCCTTATTTACACATGTATCCTCTCAGTCCCTCTGCTTCTCCAGAAGCTTTTCTTGAAATGAAAGTGGATTTAGAAACCGACTCCAGATCAGCTCAGCAGACCTCCTGACACCGAGGAGTTGACCGGAGAGATAAAACCCCGGCTGGCCCAGAGGCGTTCCCAGGGTCTCCGTCCAAGAAGGTCTTCGTCCAGCAGGGGTCTCCGTCCAGCAGGGTCTCTGTCCAACAGGGTCTCCGTCCAGCAGGGTCTCTGTCCAACAGGGTCTCTGTCCAGCAGGGTCTTCGTCCAACAGGGTCTCTGTCCAACAGGGTCTCCGTCCAACAGGGTCTCCGTCCAACAGGGTCTCCGTCCAGCAGGGTCTTCGTCCAACAGGGTCTGTCCAACAGGGTCTCCGTCCAACAGGGTCTCCGTCCAGCAGGGTCTCCGTCCAACAGGGTCTCTGTCCAACAGGGTCTCCGTCCAGCAGGGTCTTCGTCCAACAGGGTCTCTGTCCAACAGGGTCTCCGTCCAACAGGGTCTCTGTCCAACAGGGTCTCCGTCCAACAGGGTCTCTGTCCAGCAGGGTCTTCGTCCAACAGGGTCTCTGTCCAACAGGGTCTCCGTCCAACAGGCCGTCCAGCAGGGTCTCCGTCCAACAGGGTCTCTGTCCAAAAGGGTCTCCGTCCAACAGGGTCTCTGTCCAAAAGGGTCTCCGTCCAGCAGGGTCTCTGTCCAACAGGGTCTCCGTCCAGCAGGGTCTCCGTCCAACAGGGTCTCCGTCCAGCAGGGTCTCCGTCCAACAGGGTCTCCGTCCAGCAGGGTCTCCGTCCAACAGGGTCTCTGTCCAAAAGGGTCTCCGTCCAACAGGGTCTCTGTCCAACAGGGTCCTCCTGACCAGATCAACGTCCTGCTTCACTGTGGATCCAAAGGTCAACTGGACTAACTGGACCATCATTCCCTCTGGATGCCGACTCTCAACTCTTTGGTAGTTATTATGATGCGTAACCGAGGTAACAAGGTATTGCTTTTACAACTGGGTCCAGTTTCTATCAGCATCTCAGAAGCTTAAATAATTACTGACCTTTGACCCCAAGTTCCAGAGGAATTCAAAAGGACGCAGAGAGAGAAGGAGGAAGATGAACTCCTCAGAGCGAATCCCCAACTCCAGCATCTCTGTGCCTGAAATCTCTGCTTTCTAACAGCAGCGCAGAGTCTGAGCTGTTAGTCATGCAACAGTCTTCAGTCAGAGGCCTCTTCAAATTCACTACGATACTGACTGCTACGTGAGCCTTCCTGCCCACAGCATCACCATCCACAGCAACTCTTTGAACTCTTTCTGATTGGGATAAATAAATTCTTCACATCAACATCATGATGGTTTTTAAAGGTTGAACAGATGTTCTGAAATATTTGAGGAGAAGAAGGAGCTCTCCAGAGAACCAGACCTGGGTGTCCCAGTGTCCCTCCAGGTGACCCTCCAGGTGACCCAGTTGTCCCTCCAGGTGTCCCAGTTGACCCTCCAGGTGACCCAGTTGACCCTCCAGGTGACCCAGTTGACCCTCCAGGTGACCCAGTTGACCCTCCAGGTGACCCAGTTGACCCTCCAGTTGTCCCAGTTGTCCCTCCAGGTGACCCTCCAGTTTGTCCCAGTGTCCCTCCAGGTGACCCTCCAGGTGTCCCAGTTGTCCCTCCAGGTGTCCCAGTTGTCCCTCCAGGTGACCCTCCAGTTGTCCCAGTGTCCCTCCAGGTGTCCCAGTTGTCCCTCCAGGTGACCCTCCAGGTGTCCCAGTTGTCCCTCCAGGTGACCCTCCAGGTGTCCCAGTTGTCCCTCCAGGTGTCTGTGGGGCTGGAACAGGTGGAGCTGTGAAACGCTCTCTGCTCAGACCCACATTCGGAGCTGATGGGATCAGGAAGCGGCGGGTGTCCTGGCCGGCGCCGCTGCATCTGGGTCAGCGCTAAGACCCGGTGAGGATAATCCCAAGAATCCGAACCAGAGCCAAGTCATCCAGGCGCCGCTGCCCAGGAGGAGCTCAGGGAGTCGGAGGATCAGGATGTTTATCCGCTTCGTCCAACACCTGGAAAATCAGCTGATAAATGATTCATCGGAACGCCGGGAAGCAGAAGAAGTCGCCGTCACGTCCAACATCTTTTATTAATGCTCCACCCTAAAGACGGAGGCAGAACCTCCTCCAACCAGCAGCTCCAACTGGTTTCATCTGACGGGAACTGGAGCCACTGGGAACAGAAATCAGGCCCAGAGGAGGAGATTCACACCTGCAGCCTCACCTGGGAACGAACTGGGAACACTGCCCCTCCCCCACTCGCTGCTGCACACTGCCAGCCAGGTGGCTGAAAGGAGACTCAAACATCTTTGTCAGACTTCAGAAAAGTTCAGTTCAGCTTTTTGGAAACATTTTCCCACCTCCACAAACTAAGAGCGCCCCCTATGGCTCCAGTCAGACTAAATATTTCTACTAAAACTCTAAAGCTGTTTTTTTACTTTTACTGCAGATCACGGATCAGAACCAGAAGACCCGGTTTTCTGGTTCTGATCCATTCAGGGTTAGGGTTAGGGTATGGTTAGGGTTAGACACAAAACCTGGACGACAGCAACTCAGAGGGAGGATCAACGTCCCGTTTCATCCAGACACAACAAGAAAACCCGACCCGGACCGCCGGGCCGGACCGCCAACCCGGACCCGGACCTAACCCTAACCCGGACCTAACCCTAACCCTAACCCCTGGAGTGTGAAAACGTCAGAAATATTCCCATGAACTTCATGATTTCTGCTGGTTTAAAGCCTGTGAATGTGAGCTGGCAGCAGGAAGAGCTGGACAGAAATGATGTCACTTCCTGGAAACGGAGTACAAACACCAGTGAGTCAGACTGGACCAGTAACTCCGTCTGAACTTCTGTCTTACTGGAAATATAAACCTCATGGGAACAGCAGCGAGTTCACCTGCTGGTTCAACTATAACTCCTGTTTATTCTGCAGGTTCTGGTTCCTGTTCTGACCCGACCCGACTCGACCCGCGCTCTGATTACATCAGCACCCAGACACCCCCAGGCCTGACCTACGACTGGAATCCCATCCCTTTCCTGGCCGGAAGCCAAACATTCCAGCCCGTAAAAATCACCGGGTCCCGGAACCGGGCCAAGAACCGGGTCGGAGAGGAAGGCAGGGGAGGGAAACCTGGCCGAGAGGAGGAGAAACATACCAAACATTCCAGACACAAAACCTGGACGACAGCAACTCAGAGGGAGGATCAACGTCCCGTTTCATCCAGACACAACAGGAAAACCCGACCCGGACCGCCGGGCCGGACCGACCCGGACCCGGACCGACCCGGACCCAGACCGACCCAGACCCGGACCGACCTGGACCGCCGGGCCGGACCGACCCGGACCCGGACCGACCTGGACCGCCGGGCCGGACCGACCTGGACCGCCGGGCCGGACCGACCCGGACCGCCAACCCGGACCCGGACCGACCCGGACCCAGACCGACCCGGACCCGGACCGACCCGGACCCAGACCGACCCAGACCCGGACCGACCTGGACCGCCGGGCCGGACCGACCCGGACCCGGACCGACCCGGACCCAGACCGACCCGGACCCGGACCGACCTGGACCGCCGGGCCGGACCGACCTGGACCGCCGGGCCGGACCGACCCGGACCGCCAACCCGGACCCGGACCGACCCGGACCCAGACCGACCAGGACCCAGACCGACCCGGACCGACCTGGACCCAGACCGACCCAGACCGACCCAGACCGACCCGGACCCGGACAGTGCTCAGCAAACACATTTCAGTCTAGAAAATGTGACAAACTGAAGCTGGGAAATGTTTTTGTTCAAACATAAAAACCGATGAATAAATCCTGACATTCAGGAACTCTTTAAATTCCTTCAAATATCTCTGATTTCACTTCTATTGGGTTTCCAGAACTTTCAGGT